CACTATTTCTCTTATGTTGGAGAGTTATCCTCAGGCCTGGTTCTCAACGTAGATAAACCAACCAACAGGTAGTGTAGCTAGTGCATTCAACATAGGTAGAGCGTGTTGGAAGGCAGGGCGGGAAGCAGACAGGGACCACCGGTATCCCCCAGAGGCCCTGGCTGGGCCCTGGCCTTGGGCCTCAGTTCTAGGAATACAGGACAAACAGTGATGGGACGCTGGACCCGGTCTTCAGTACCTGTGTTCTTCCGCAACTTACCTCATGGTTTTCTTAAAAGGGACGCTGTACCCGGTTTCCAGCAGGTGATGCTCCCCACCAATAGATGGAGCGGTCCGCTGACAAAGCCTCAATCCCGGTGGTCCTCTCCACCATTGGGATAGAGGCCTTGCAAAGAGCCTTTAAAAAAAAACAAGAAAAAAAAAAAGGGATATTAGCATGGTAATCGACCGGATGTTTGGACTGGGTTCCAGACAGTCGAGAACAACATGTCCGGTGTCAGAATGGAGGTCCCCAGGGCAAAAATTGAAAAAATAAAGGGGCGGCCCAGACCGTTTTTTGGGTCCTGGCTGCCCCTTGAAAAATAATGGGGTGATTTTTCAGTGTCGTTTCACCCCACCGGACATGGCCTAGAGTTCCGGACACACAAGACACTGCAGGTTTTTGGGGTGGTGGGTTTCACACAGGCCTGAGCAATTTCAAAGCGGCTGTCTCGACGTGCCGCCCGCCGCTGCTGCCCGTTGCCCCGCGCGCGCACGCTCGCTCGCTCGCTCGCGAGAGAGAGAGAGAGAGAGAGAGAGAGAGAGAGAGAGAGAGAGAGAGAGAGAGAGAGAGAGAGAGAGAGAGAGCACTGAAGACTCTGACGTTCTGAATTGAATTGCAAAGTTCAAACTTTTTTCTTAATTAAAAAAAAAAAAACAGAGATCGAATTATAAAAACCGGGAAGTGGGTCCGGCGTCCCTCACATGAATGCCGTAGCCAAACCAGAGTAGGAAAGGCACTTCCAGCCAGGCCCATCCCCAACCATGGACCTCCTACAGTGAAGACGCCTGTCTTCAGCCCATCCGGTACGGATCTGTAGTTGCAAAAGGACAAAAAGTTATGAGAAGCTATGCCATTCAATTACCCTAGTCTACCGTAATGCTGGCATGGAATTTAATCCTATTCTAATGTATTGATTAACTCTATGTTATCTACATGCAAAAACAACCACCTATACCCGATTGAATTGACGTAATCATCCGTAATACTAAAAGTGAGTTCATATCAATTAACCCTAAATTATCTAGAGTCCGTCCAGGCCCCTGTTCTGCGGGGCGAGGACGGCGGAGCGCTATCGGGAGCGCTCCGCCGCCCGCCGTTTGGGCGCGACGGCGCTTCGCGGTGAAGGCTGGAATCGAGGAACGGCCGAGGCGCTACAACGGCGAACGTGACGCGAGGGGGAGGTGAGAGATGGATCATGAGATATGGGGGAGTGGGTTATTGGCGCCTGAACGTGTGGAAGGCCATGAGGGCTGTGCATCTCACATCAAGGTCTTGGTCGAGATGAGGAATATCGTGGGAGGGAGTTAAGGGGAAGGGGATAGGGTTTCACGGTTTGGTGGAAGAGTGCCATAAGGAAGACGGAGGGAGGAGGAGTGTGGAGGAATGACTTCTATAAGTGGGTGACGTCTGCAACGAGGATACCCCCTCATCTCTTTGGGCTACCTGCGAAGGGCGGCTGGTGGGCTCAACGGTCTAGTCTCGCGACTTGGTTGGGTATGCTGCGACGACAATCTCAGCTGAGGTCCTGTTGTCATCATCGTTCGGTCTTTTTGGTTGGTTGAATGGTTGTCAACCACAGGCGGCCGAGTTGCGTGAGTGTCGATGAATTTGAGGAGGTGAGGTTTGAAGGGAGGGGGGGTGTGTTTAAGGATGTCAAAGGTAATTGGTGTTTTCCTCTTCGGTTTGACCTTGATGAGATTTCCAGGGAGGAGAATCTCAGAGAGTGCTTTACCTTTTAGATTCTAACATAGAATTTTCGATAGGTCATGCAGTTATAATAAATAATCACGATTCTGTAAATTCTTAGTTCTGTTTTCTAGATGGAAGTTATGACAAAAAATCAATTGGTAGTTCGCAATTTTTTCGTTGATTTGTACCGGATTTCAGATTCACCTGTTTTTTTCACAAATATTTGATCGATGTCTTGTTTCTGCTAATTGGTATTTCGTGATTTACCATCAGAACGATTCTTGGGACCTTGGGGTTCTAGGAATCTGAATCGAGAGTCCTTTTGGACATCACAGTTGATTCCCTTATTGGTTTCAATTTCCATTTTTAAATCTATGCTTTCGAGGTCATTCTTCATTTGGAATAATTTCAATCCTAAATTTCAGATCTGTCGTTCTCTTTTAATTCCAAAATTTTAAAAGATGTTTCAGATAGAATTGAATTTCCTGAAATTCATTTTTGATTACAGTTTCCAAAATTAGGTTTCTGAAGGATTTTCTGTCATAAAAATCAGGGGAGAGAAGCTGAAAATGGGGATGGAAGGTAGAAAGGGGTTATCAACAGAGGCGGGTCGTTGGTCAGGGTAAGTAGGTTAGAAGGACGGTGCTGGGACGACTCAGGCCGATGCTGGAGCTTGTGCTATGTGACCCGGGGGGAGCTTGAGCCCTGCGAAGTTATGCCGGACGCATAACCAGACCGTCCGACGAGGTTGGCGTCGGGGCATTGACCCTGTAACCTGTTAGGGGCTTGCCGCTAAAGGAACTGTCGAGGGAGGAAGACACTTCTTGACTGTCAGAACGAGGTTGGTCGGTATTGGGGAGGGTTGTGGTGCCTTGTTACCCTAGCAGAAGGGGGTACGAGATCAAGCGAGTTCTGGTACGAAGACTGAAAGCCTGGACTGACACTTCGTTTGTTGAGGGGGGATTTTAGGATAGTAGGCAGTTTCAGTTTTGCCCCCCCCGTTCTCATAAAATTCATGCGAAAATCTTAATAAGAGTAGGTCGTTTGCTGGTCCTGGATGGTCTTCAGGATTTTGAGATTCCTACTGACTCATCCTGAGGTGGTTTCGATGTTGTTATACTCAGTGATCTGCGGTTGTCCGATGCCAGAACGACGCTGGCCGGTGCTGGGGAGTTGCCCTGTAACCTGCAACGTGGGAGCGTGAGGCCTGGTAGAGAGATCTGGGGATGCTTTGGGTTGGGCATTCCATGGGACATCCAAGGGTTGCTGCCGGGAGGACGCTGGTCGGAGCTGGGGTGAGTCGTGTTGCCCTGTAACCCAGCTGGATGTGGGGGCGTGAGGCCTGGAAGAGCTCGGCAGGGAGTAGGACAGTTTTGAAGGACCTCGGAAGGGTTTGTGAGGGATTTCAACGTTTTTTGGAACATCTGCAGGACCCCTGCGGCCTATTCTCATGCTTTCTTTACTGTAAAGTGTTCTTACGTACCTAGAAAAGGGAATAAGGTGGGTGGGAGAAGGAAATGGTGGGATATCACGCGTCCTACTAGTGAAGGGGCTAGCTGGTAGGATGGGAGTATGGTACAGCAGCAGCAGAGATGGTGGCTCTGCTGCAGTTAGTCTCGCCGGAGTGAGGTGAAGAGGTTTGATGGTTTCTCTGAGTCGATTTCTGAATTTTTGTTTTAGTTACTTTAAAAATTCTTAATCTGGCCCTAATTTCTTCGTCATTTTCGAGATGGTTCTTTATACTTTTGGTAGTCTTGACAATTCTTTAGGACTCTGGATACTTCTTGCAAAGCAGTCTACGCTTTCTTGATGCTGTTTACTCATGGATCTGTTGGTTTTTCGATGCCAGAACGACGCTGGCCGGTGCTGGGGGAATTGCCCTGTAACCTGTTAATAGCAGGAGCGTGAGGCCTGGTAGAGAGATCTGGGGATGCTTTGGGCCGGGCATTCCAAGGGAAAACCAAGGGTTGCTGTTGGGACGACGCTGGCCGTTGCCGGGGTGAGTCGTGTTGCCCTGTAACCTAGCAGGGTGGGGGCATGAGGCCTGGGAGAGCTCGGCAGGGAAGAAGACAGTATTAGAGAATTTTAGAGTGTTTTTATGGGGGGCTTCCAGGGGTTCTGAGCTTTTGAAGGACTCCCAGTAATTGCTGCTTGAGTAGCCTAGTAATAGGTTGGCAGGTTAGCAGCTATTCGGTGTTTTTCTTAAATTTTCCTGAACTCTTTTCATAGTTCTCAGATTGTTCTTAGCCGAAGCCAGGTAATGGCCTTGGCACTTCAAATCACTTCAAATCATTTGTATATTTCTATATGGGACGCTGGGCCCGGTTTCCAGCACGTGTTGCTCCCCACGAATAGACTGGAGCATTTGTCCCAAAAAAAAAAAAAAAAACCTAAATTATCTACAAAACAGACCCCGTATTCATCACTAAACACAAAACGGAATCCCAATTGAGGCCTAATCAACTAAAACCTCAAGAACATCAAGAAGTGTTTGCACTTGAATAAAAATCGCGTCGAAGAAGTCAGCCCAATTTCGAGCATTGCAGATTTCCATTGAGCCGAATGTCCCGCTCTCTCCGATCCCACAGCCAAAGGGAATTTCAGTCAAAAGGCCGCAAAGGGAGGCAAGTCTACCGTGGGCTGCAGCAGGTGAAGATTGTCCAGGATGACAGACTTGGAGGGGGGGGTGCATAAAGCCTGTCATTATGGATAATCTCCACCATATCATCCAATTGTAACGACAGGTCCATTGATGAGAAGATGATGGGTGGAGGATGGTCCTTTGATGGTGAGGCGATTGAAGATGGATAACGAGTGATGAATGATAAGTTGTGAGTCATCGGAGTGATAGGTATGCGCTAACAGAAGACACGTGGCAGCTTGTGAAGGAAAAATCTTTTATGGCTTTGGCTGTGGAATTTTGATGCCCATGTAGTTTTCCATCGCCTCTGCCAATTGCTTGCCGAACTGCTGCTGCAAGTAGCGAGCCAGAGGGTACATAGCTGACGCGACCAAATTTGGCGGCCGGGAGAAGGCCATGACCTCATACCACACCGAATCGTCTTCTCGCCAATCAACCACAAACCACTCTTCGCCTGCCTTTCCTTAACGCCAACGATGCCCTGATGAATATCAAGGTTCCCACGATCAATGTGGCCCAACACAACTGGCAGAAAAACAGCCGACACCCTGCCACTCTGCACGTCATGAATGGAGGAGCAGAAGAGCAGTCTACACCCTGCCACTCTGCATGTCATGAATGGAGGAGCAGCACCCGATGCAGATAACAACAGTAATAGCTGTGGCTCGTAGTTGCAACCACAGTTCGTGGCAAACTTTGATGGAGTGAACATCCCTCCACCGACAGCAGCACCCGACTGAGGCTGACGCAGCAGCAATGTATTCATGGAGGCTCCGTATCTGAGACCAAGGTGAATGCCCTGACCTGTTCATAATTCTGATAAGGGGGGGGGCATCTTTGGAAGTCCCACCCATGCCTGCCAACCTGGCAAGGAGGAGGGACCATGAGCGGGACGCGACGACGCTATTCAGTCGCAGGGGTGTTACCCTCCCCTCAATACTCCCGGCATCCGCAATGCTAAAAAAATTGGAGCCGGTGAAACCAGAGCGCGGTGCTAACGCAGCGCTAGCTCAGCGCTGTGTTTCCCGGCGCAAATATTCAAGTTATATGAAGTTATGAACTTAAATTAATTAATTCAAAGTTCAAACTTCAAAGTGAATCATACTTTTTTGAAGTTTTTTCTTCTTTTTTTTTCCCTGTTTCTTTAGTCATGTGCCTGCTTTGCACTGTTTGCAACACTGCATGTCTGCTAGTTGAATGTGCTTGTTGATTTGCTGCAAGACAGCCTTAGACAGGTGCTCTGCTACCTGAACTAGGAACTGCAAAGCGAGAAGATGTCTCCGAAAATTACGAGTCCGTCGAAAATTAAACCCATGAATTTGGTGAAACCTCCACCTTCGCCTTTGTCTCCTCCTCCTCCATCGTCACCTTCGTCTCCTCCTCCTCCATCGTCACCTTCGTCTCCTCCTCCTCCATCGTCACCGTGACCTCCACTGTCTTCCTCTTCTTCTTCCTCTTCCTCCTCCTCCTCACCACCATCGCCATGATGGCTCTTGTGTTTCTTTCCTGCAAGACCAAGGACGAAAGAAATGCACCAAAAAGAAGAAAGAAAATAGACCAATGTCACAAAATAGAAAAGAACATAGACAAAAGAGAAAAAACGAGTTGAGTTAGTGGGCATTCCTCTTCATCGGCCAATGGTGTTCTTTTTTCTTTTTCCATTTGAAATGAATGGAAGTGGAAGTGACTTCCACGGTTTCACCGTCACAGAGTTTTGTTTCCCAGTCACATTAATGTAAGCTTCTTAAAAAAAAAAAAAAAAAACAGAAAAAAAACAAGAAAGTCAAAAAAAACTAGGCTACCAGCT